TATGGCTGTACCATCCTATGCCCAAGAAAGTAGAGAAATTTTCCAACCCGAAAAATTAATAGACTGGACGGGAATAGAACTCAGTCGGCTCCAGCATGGACTTGCTTTGTAGCTGCGCCTTTACCGACTGAGCTAAAGGAGTATCGTTTGTAACCTTTGAATTAAAAAAAAAAGAATAACATTGTATCATCTTTAGTTATTTATGTATAGTATACATTCTGAGTAATTAGTGAACATAATAAAACACCCTTACATTATGAGATTCTATTGAATAATACCGGACTAGATTTGATGAAACATGATTGAAAAAAAAATTAATACATATTCATTTGAAATGCAAATTTTCTTGAAAATTAACCAGAGACATATTTTGCTGTCCTAAATGTTGTAGTTAATTTGGCTCTAGTTTTCTCAATTTTTTACCGATTCAAACCAAACACCCTGCACATAATCGAGAAATTACCAAAGTTTCATAAGTCACGCTTGTTGGTCACGTCGCGGTTGTGTATTTACACGGATATTCCTAGGGTTCTGCCCAATGGTGAGACATTTTCATGATATTTTTTTATTTCTAATATGAACCTAGCACTTTTCGTTGTCAAATCATAACCTAATCGTATATATGTGACTTTGTGGATCATGTAGGACTCATTACTGTGTATACCGGAAATTATAGGTTTTCCAAATCGTCCAGGACATCAGTTGATTTGTTGTACTAGATCAACCAAGACTGCAATAATGTCTGTAGTATGTCCAATCAGATTCAAAGTGTCTATGTGGATCATGCATGATATATTTCCGAGTAATCCAGATGTTCAAGGTTCTTCAAATCGTCCTGGAGTTCAGATAATTTGATGTACTAGATCAACCGAGATTGGGACAATGTCTTTAGTATCGAAATATTTCCAGGCAGATGCACGGTGTCTATGTGGATCATGCATGAACTATTGTCATGTATACCAGATGTTTTAAGTACTCCAAATCGTTCTGGGCCATAAGACTAGTGTAAAATCACGGTATTACTAAGCCGGAGGAGGCGGGTTCGATTCCCGGTCCAGTCGAGGGAATCTTTCGGGCTGGAAATTTTCTCGACTTCCCTGGGCATAGAGTATAATTGTGTTAGCCACACAGTATACAAATTCATGCATTGTTATTGGCTTTATTGGCTCTCAATTAATAAATTTGGGAGTGCATTTAGAACCCTAAGTTGAGAGCACGCAATGAACTAATATGCACTAATCAATAAGCTTGAAATGCGAATAAGAAGAATAAGAAATCGTTCTGGAGTTCAAATGATTTATTCTACAAGATCAACCATGACTGCGACTGGGATGAAGTCTGTAGCATCAAATTATGTCATAGTGTCTGTATGGATAATGTTTAATTATTTCCACGTATACCAGATGATCTAGGTTCTCCAAATCGTCCTGCAGTTCAGATGATTTGTTTTACTAGATCAAACAAAGACTACGATAATATCTGTAGTATCGAAATATCGTTTTGGAAATCCTAGAACATTTGGCATGATCCACATAGACACTGCAAATTGGTTTGGACATATTTCGATACTACAGATATTGAATTAGTCTTGGGTGATGTAGTAGAAAAATAATCTGATCTACAGAATGATTTCAGAACCTATAACATCTTGTATACGTAAGTCGTATAGGTCGGGTACAATCCACATAGACACTTGGAATCTGTTTGGACATTTTTCGATACTACAGACATTATTGCAGGCTTGGTTGATATAGTGGAACAAATCAACTGAACTCCAGGACGATTTGGAGGAACTAGAACATCCGGTATACATGGCAATTGCTCGCATATGTACGATTCGTTTATGATTTGACAATGGAAAATGCTATGTTCATATAAAAAAAAAGGAAATGTCTCAAATTGGACAGACCTCAGGGAATTTCCGTGTAAATTCGGTGTGACTTATGGAATTGAATCATTTCTCGATTATTTACAGGGTGTTTAGTTTGAACCGGTAAAAAATTGAGAGTCAAATGAACAACCAAATTGATGACAGCAAAATAATCCGGGACGGAAAGGTTACAATGAATTCCACAATTTTTGTGACAGCACAGTCCCTTCGCGATTCTCGCGACATCATTTTATGTTTCCGCGACAAATCCGCGAAATCCGCGAAATTCGCGAAATCCGCGCCTGTTGTAACAGCCCTGCATTTATTTTTTAGTGTGTATCACGGTTTGACTGTCTGTCGCTTTATTTTTTATCCCACCTCGGACCACTCATAGCTAAAGAGCCTGAATTTATAAAGAGACGACTTGTCAAAATTGGAACAATCGATTATCTGTCAAAGTCATAGGAAAAGTTATTCCAATCGAGCAAAAGACCTGTCAAATGGGTAAGATGTCATCTCTGTCATCTCTTTATAAATTCAGGCTCTTTACTCATAGCTAGCCAGCAGAGGCTGCTGTTTGATATTTTCAAAAAGTTGTGCGGAAATAACATTAACCAACCCAAATTCTACATTCCTCCAACCATCTACAGCAGAACTCTAATAAAATAGTTATGGTTGTTTTGCTTAACGACATGTTCTGTATATAATCCAAACAATTTGTGGAATCTTTCAATCATTTGGGTTATCATTCGTTTATGGTACTTTTTATTAGGGAAGCACACTCCAAAGCTCTTCGTAAGAAGCTCCCAATCAACTAATTTCTTTCATAGTATCTAGACCTCCATTCCTCACCGAATGTTTCTGAAATCCAGCCTTCAGCTGAAATTTGTTTGCTTTCGCAACCACTTCCGCCTTCGAGTTGGAAGTTCCAACTTGGAACTCGTCCTCATCTTTTAGTTTTCCATTGTCTTGCATCCATTTTTAAATGTTAACTTCCTCTCTATTGAAACCGAAAAATCCTTTGGTTTCTTCCCCCACTACGACTTACTTTTTCGAAGGGACGTATCAGCTTTTGTAAACAATGAATTTTATCATCGATTTGACGTAACTGATCGCTCTCTCACGCATGCTAGCACTACCATCAGATAGGGGAAATTTCCCCCGTACCTGATATTGGTGTTAGTATGCATGGGCGAGCGATCAGTTACGCCAAATCGATGATAAAATTCATTGTTTACAAAAGCTGATACGTCCCTTCGAAAAAGTAAGTCGTAGTCCCCCGTACGTCCCTTCGAAAAAATTATCGAGAAATAAAGATTATATTTTCATAAAACTTGAATAAATCTGGGAGTTTCGTCCCCCTCGCCCGTTGCCACGCGCGTAGGTAACATGTTATACCGTAACAGCGGGCCCAGTACAGCAAAATAAACGATTTGAACCCGGGACATGCTGCCTACTGTCAAACGCTGCTGTTGATATAGGCCTTGTCACTGGCCTGATCAAAATAAACAATTCAAGCATGACTTTTCAAAAGGACGTAAGTCGCAAATACAAACAAATCGATATTTTGCTTCTAACCGAATATTAAATACATGCTTTTCCTACGAGTTAATAAAAAACAAGGTTGGAAATTTAAATGAATTATGGAAAATATATTTAATGAACGCCCTATGTGATCTATTTTCATTGTTTTTAAAATGGTGTTGATACACCCTTTTATTGTCAACATGACTTTACTGTTTAAATTTGATGATAACACAAAAACTGCAGATACGCTCACAGTGAAGCGTCGTATGTGAAAAAAAACAAAGCAACCCTTCAATCAGCAGATGCGTCAAGTTGTTTCTAAGTAGATGCAAAATGGATTTCAATGGGATTCAGCTACTGCTAGGTATGTTTTGTTAAATATTCTTGACTAAAACATAAATATTTTTTAGATGTAGCCACCCAGAGATGATGCTGAGAAGGAAGAATTAAAACGAAAATACGAACTACATCAGATGTCAGCCAAGGTAGTGTACGACGAGAAGAAGAAAGCCAAAATGCTTACCAAAGAAGATCCCACTGTTCGGACAGCAAGTTTCTAGAGACGTATCTTCACTGCAAAACAAAAACCGGTGTGTCTGCATTAGCATTAACTTTTAAATAGGATTTAATAATCTAATATGGACTTTGCTATCCAATGTTTCTAATTTTTTATCCAATGCTACATACGTCATTTTTAAAAGTTATGCTTGAATTATGCAAATCGGAGAAGATCGTATCAGATCGATGCGTCATTTGGCACAATCACACGTTTTCCTCATATATTGATTTCAGAATAGCAATATTCGGAGTAATGATATTACCAGCATTCAATTTATATTTCCTGGATGGGAGCTCTATAAAAATGGAGTCTAAAATATCTCAAAAACTGTTCTCCTCGGTTCTTGATACCCCTTAATTTCACCAACTTGATTCCATAATCTTTTAGTCATACTTCTGAAAATCGTACGGGTTCTGAAGAAGAGTATCAAAGGTTTAAAACAATTGTGCTAATGACAAAATCATGAAAACGCTGTAGGTTAGGAAATACAAAAAACACATCTTACCGATCCGTCCTTTTCATCAGGGTGTTCACCAACTAGGCAGAACAGTCCTCCCTGCACCTCACATGATTGCAGCCCTTCCTGATGGTGATACTCGTCGATGTCCACCTTTTCCTCATCGCAGGTGAACGTCTTAAGAATTTGGTTATTACAATCGATATCGCAGCAGCAATTTACATCGCAAATGTTAATCTGGAGAGAGAAACAAACATCATCGTTTGGGATATTCTTCGCTCAATGAAATGATTAAACCAACCTTGAGATCACATTTGCAATAGTATCCCGAGGGGACCTTCTTGGTCAGACGTCCTTCTTTCGGTTGCTCGAATGGTGGGCTCTCGGTTGTCGATGATGGACGGTTTGTCGTAGTTGTTGATGAAGTCGTTGTTCCGTTGTCCTCTTTTTTGGTTTCACTCGAAGTGGTTGAAGTTGACTGGGCCGAAGAGGTGCTAACCGTCGTCACCTCGGTAGTTTCGTTTCTCGTTGCAGCGGTTGTGCTTTCATTTTCAAACTTTTGGCTAACTTTAGATACATCAATCTTTACAAACTTTTGCGAATGACGATCCTGGTCACACAACCCCATTGCAATCACCCAAACAACGACCAGCAGCCTACCGTAGTTCCACACCATTTTCCGCAAAGTTCTTAAATATCAGCATCAATTCTAACTCCACACTTCCCGCCGACTTGGTTAGCAGCTTATACCGCTCGATCCCGGAGAACACAATGTCACTTTTGGCCACCGTAAATCCTCCGGTGTGAAACTTTTCCCGAACCGTGTCCACGAACCTGGCCGAGGAAACCTTCCACGTCGCCACTCGAACCCTCCCCACACCAGGCTGCGTCGGTAAGAACGCAAAACCGTACCCCACGGGCCAATAGTTGCCGAACGAGTTCACCGCGTACACTTCGATGTGAACCTTTGGCCAACCCTGGATGCCACGGCAGGCCAGATGCAGATCGATCGGAGTGCTAAAGTGCGACCGTTTCTCCACCCGCGCAGTGCTGGCACAGCTCTGTCCCTCCGAGTGGCCTTCGATCACTTTCCAACAGGACCCGAACTGGATGCTCCACTTGCAGAACAGATTCGGCTCTTCAAAGTCGGACGCGTGGCACAGCTCGCCGAGGATGTGTAGTTCAGCCATTAAGTTTCATGGTACGGTCAAGGGATTGCAACAAGACTGAGCGAATGGGGATCGATTGCTGTTGAATTCGGTACCATCCTTGTAAGGTGCAAAAAGGTGACCAAACAAAAGGTTGCCAGGGGAACCTGAATGCGTCGTTGCCGTTGGAAACGGTAACCGCGTGACTGCGCGGGGGGTGGCACGTGGTGTGTTTTTGTCTGTGTGGTTGTTTCCAGAGAGGGTCTAGTATGAGAGAGCATCGGACTTGCGTCACTTTTCAAATAGACCTATCTGTATTGATATTGAGTAGATTATCTTAATCTACTCTCTCTCTCTCTTTCGTTAATAACTTGGCTGCATTCATATTTCGGGCAAATTTTTCTACATAGTCTGTTAAAAGAAAAGATTATTAAGCGTATTGGACGACAAGAACAGTTGAACATGTCTTTGGAGCCGAGTTATTATCGAAAGAGAGAGTCGATGAAGATAATCAAAGATTGGTCTATTTGAAAGGTGACGAGATTGCATTGGCAGTGTTGCTGAAAACCACCAAGGCAAACTGTTTTTGAATCCGCTCCTCTCTTGTACTAGCCCTCTCTAGTTGTTTCTTGTCTTTTTGGGGTTGTTGCAAACATCTGATTGTTACCACGAGCGGCGCAAACGCTGCAGATTAAGAAGGGGTAACATTCTTTACAGAAATTTGCAATATTTTTCTGAGCGATTTATTTGATTTAGTAAACAATGACTTCTCAAGTGTGAAAGCGGTCAAGGAACGACTGCATTGACAGTTTCCAATCGAACCAAAATGACTGGTGAAGGTCTAGGATAAGAGAGCGAAGCGGTCCAAATAGGTTCAAGAAATGTGACATTGAAAAACTTTCACCCCTAATCGTTTTCATTTATTTATTTATTTCACTTCTTCAAATATTTTCATACTTCAATACCTTTTTCTTCCTTAGATAGCTATGATTTTTCTTTTTCTTTTTGTATCTTAAAACTGGATCCTTCGGGTGGTTCAGATATTTTGCTCAAGTGTTACACTTTTCCACCACTTCGTTCGCTCTGGGTGTTTCTCGGTTGCCACATGCCACATGTATAACTAACAGCTGTTTTCTGTGATTTTCTGTTTTCGCGCTTACATTTACTGTTGACGTCTCCAAACAGGTGCAGTATATGCGGGTTTTGTGTATATTTATGTTATCTGAATACAAGTGAGTGTTGGTTGATAAAATGAAGTATGGTGCAAATCTACTGTGAATTTGCCTGCTTGGTGTGACTATTCAAACTTGGATTGTAGAAACAAAACGAAATCAATTGAAACTCGTAACATTCTTGATTGGCATTTTTTTCATATGGTTTGATAAAGTTCAGGGCTGCCGGTTCTGATGATGATTCGACAGGGATATTCACTAACTTGTTTGTATGTGTGTGTGTGCATTGGAGTCAATAACTTATTAGACTCGGATCATTTTTTTTTGTTTTTAGTTTTTGGTATAGTTGCTGTAGCGTAAAAAAATACATTATCTCTGAAACTGCACAATCCATGCTGTCGACAGTTCGGATTTCTGTTTGTGTTTTTGTTTGTTTGCTGGTTTGTTGTTGTGACGTCTGAGTTACAAGTTGAACAATTCACTTTCATTTCTATGCGATTCATTGGTTGCATTGTTTTGTTTGCCTTATTTTGATCTTCTTTTTCAGTGCAACGATTTATTTTCCCTTTTTAGGTTTTTGCTCAGATCACCTCGTTTGTTTTAGAGTATATACAGTTTCTACTTATTTACATAGTTTTTTTTAATTGTTCTTCAGCATGTATAAGTTGTTGATTTGTTGGATAAGTTCGATATTGAAACCAAAACAAATGCGAAAAGTTTCTAATTGTTCGGTATTGGCTTAATATGTTCCTTCAGATTGCTGTTGCTTGTGTAGCTTAGTTTTGCATAAAAGTTCGTTTCAATTGGTAAATGTGTGCAGTAGTAGGTTCTATGATTTTGAATCTGTATAGTCAAATATGTTCTTTTCTGTTGCATCTATTGTGCTTATCGGTTTACACGTAATTCGACCGTAGGAATTTCCTAACGATGAGTGTATTTTTGGTGAATTTCGGTTCTATTAAAATTTGCAACTAAATTCAGGGAAATTATTCTAACTAAAACGGTTTGCTAATTGCTAAACACTAAAATCACTTGAATCACTAACCGGCATCGTATATTGATTTCCATTGCTGTTGAAGGTTGAGTTTTTGTAAACTTAAGTCAATTGTACGTAAGATAATCAATTGAGTTGAACACATTTTGTTCATATGCTACTACATAGTACCGCTTACGGTTCTTATTGGGTTGCATTATCCAGTTTTATATACAACATCTTAATTTATTTTCGAAGTGTCAAATTTAAGTGAACATTAGGGTGTTTCATTTTGAAAAAAGTGATGAATTTTTGATAGGCCACCCTCCAGTTCGATTCATAGCCCCAAAATATGAACCTGTGCAAAAAATGGTAAAGATTGATGAAGGTTTAGAGGTCGCGCCAATGATTTGGATTTTGTATGGAGATTTTGGTGAATTAGTATGGGAAATTATTGATTTTCGTTTACATTGCTCTAACTTTGGTTGTAGTTGTCCAAACGTTGAAAAAAAAAATATGTGGTTGTCATGACAATGATCAACAAGCCTGTTGTTGTTGCGATGAAATTGGCGTTGTTGCCTTGTACATATTCATCTGTCAATTTACCCTATTTTGCCATTTTTCCACATTTTTATAATTCTTGATACGCTGCAAAACTGAGCGTAGCAACTGTAGGCTTTTTGTTTATTGCCATAGCAATAACATACTAAATTTTTTCGACATTTGGACAAGTAGAAGCAAAGTTATAGCGATATAAGCGATTTTTTAAATTCTTCCATAGTAATTCCCATACAAATTTCAAATCATTGGCGCGACCTCTAAACCTTCATCAATCTTTACCAATTTTTGCACAGGTTCATATTTTGGGGCTATGAATCGAACTGGAGGGTGGCCCATCAGAAATTCATCACTTTTTTCAGAATGAAGCACCCTAGTGAACATTCACCAAATGGAACACAGCCTAAATTGGCGCACTACTTGACTAGTACTACACTATGTTTGTTTTGATTCGCTATGAAAGATTGACAGATAACATGAGGGGTTCTTCGATTTTCCTATGTTTCGAGGGGTGCATCGATTAGCTTGGGACTGAAGAGAGTACCAGAGCTGAGCCAAAAAGTTGAGCACGTTTCTTCGGGACCTTCTAGTCTTAGAGTTACCTCTATGGTGAAAGGAAAGCATAGAGGTAACTCTAAGACTAGAAGGTCCCGAAATGACGTGCTCAACTTTTTGGTTCAGCTCTGGTACTCTCTTCGGTCCCAAGCTAATCGATTCACCCCTCGAAACATAGAAAAATCCACTAACCCCTCATTTTATCTGTCAAACTTTTATAGCGAATCAAAACAAACATTGTGTAGTAGTAGAATTTCGACTAGAATGGAGTGCGTTAATCGTTTGCTTGGGACCAATAGGCTAGTCAAGTAGTGACCCAATTTAAAATCGTTAGTTTCGTATTGATTGTTGGTGAAAGGGTGAACGGATGTTAATCGCGGACATTGCAGAAGTGCGGTTTACATCTCACTGCAGTCTGAAAATTTACCGAAAAAACCAACCCAAGAAAAAATCGACTAAGTCCACGTAAACAGTACCACTGAACTGTCATCAGAATGAGGTTAACCCCGACGGTGCAAAACCTAATTAGGTTCTGCAGCGTGACGTAACGAATGAACTCAGTGTTCATCAAACTAGGGGAAGTACAACAAGTAATATTTGGTGTTAAAATTGCTGAAATTGGTAGTTATTATAATTTTTAGTATAAATAATAATGATATTAACTGTCAGGCGGAAAGCTTCAAAGTAAAAAAAAATTAACAGTGTAACTTCAACGCATACACTCAATGACGTTTCACCGTTCAGGGGAAACATGTCCGAAGGGTATAACTCGAAACGTAAACAATTACTTTGAACGTCGATTTCTCTGGAATGTCCACACACTAACGGAATCTGACTTCACCAGCTCATAGAACAAACATTGCTCTGTTAGATGATTTAGTTAGTTTGAGTGGGTGTGTTGTCATTCGTAAGAAACCGACGATCCAAGTCATTGGTTACGTTTCCTTCTGACATGTTTCCCCTGCGTTGTTGTTTATGTTTACTACAGCTTTCTGTCATCATTTTTACCTAGATGTTCGTTTTCGATAGCTCTGATCGATTTAGACTTCGGCTTTTCATGATAAAAAACGGTACTGGACGTTCCCCAGCAGCAAATCTCTCCAAGTTGCAGGCTCGAGGCGAATCGAGCGTAATACGACCACGGAACCATCACTCTGGGACTCCGTTAGCAAGGAAGGCGTAGTCAGCCTATTCCCGTTCCATCGGAGGACAGCACATTGGTTCGCAGACGATGAAGATTTCGTGGAAATCAATGACTAGGGGAAATGGATGTAATGTCCTAAATGCTCCTAATTTGGGCCCATACATAAATTCAGCAATCGACTACATTTTCAATAGCGACCAAAAGTATCCATTAGTACCGTCTCAATGACGCGTTTATCTAGATAAAATTGATAAACAGCAGATTTTCAGAAATGGGCCCAATTTTAGATCCATAGGCCAACATTGGAGCCATTTCCCCTATTTCCTAGGAACAGAAGTGCAGCCGATTATGTGCACTGAGATCAGCTACCAAATAATGCCGAATTTATGAGAACAAGGATCGGATTTCGGTGGCGGTGGCCAGCAAGATTATCAAGGAATGACTTGCCTCTTGTGTGAGAAATCGATTTTTGATTGAACGAACGTCAAATGTACACTTAAAACCAAAAATACTCAAAAACAAAACAAAACTGTCAGACTAAGTATAAGATTCGCAAATATCACACACTGGGACGGGGCCGAGGGGGGTTGACACATCTAAATCTCAAGTTTAGATGCTCAACAAATCTCGCACTAGCGAATCAATCTTCGAAAAATTTTCTTTCATTTGTCGCATCTACTTGCATCGCGCATCATCTTTTTGCAGGAAATCTTCAGAATCGTCATCAATCTTCATTCTATCTACTCAGCGTGCGCCGTGGGGGGCGACACATCTAAATCTCAATTCTAGATGTTCAACAAATCTCACCCTAGCGAATCAATCTTCGAAGAATCTTCTTTCATATCTCGCACCTATTTGCTTCACATATCATCTTTTTGCAGGAAATCTTCATAATCAAATCAAACTTCTTTCTATCTACTCAGCGTGCTCGCAGCTAACCACAGCAAAACACAATCTTTTCTGCATAGTAGATAGAGTCGTCCCCCTCGGACGGGACTTGACAATCGGGTAGCCAATTGGCTGTCAAATCCGAGCCAGTTGATGATTGGTCGATTTGACAGTAGCAATCGTGGAAAAAAAGGACAGAGGCAGTGAGGCCGGAATCAATGTTGACTTCGATGGCGTTCTTAATTTATATTTGCGAAAGGAAAGTTGGAAAATAGGGTCCACGGCGTGCTTTAAGCGATGGATATTCTTGTTTGTTTATGGTTGTTTTTATTGTGTTAAGCAAAAATGATGTACAAGGTGCTAAACTGCGGTATAAACAATAACCTCAATACCCCTAAAGAACCCGATTGTATTTTGTTTTCTCCGCCAATGAGGAGTATTTTTAGTTCCGTTACGTACGGCATGATGAAAATTGAACAAATTAATGCGACAGTACAAAGTCAAACGCACACTTCTTTACCTAACTCGTACTTCAAATCTCCGCGTACAGCGTACGAGTTAGGTAAAGAAGTGTGAGATTGACTTGAACTGTCGTATTAATGGCCCTTCGCTCATTTTCAACTTCTATTTCTGTCGTACTCTAACGGAATTATCTACCTATCCTCTTCTAAGACCATTCTCTAGCTAATAAATTATCAGATCGCATTTTCAACCAACTCTGAAAATCGCAAACCTCGCGTATGAAGTAACATAACACTTCGAACTTAAAAACAGATTGACATTGAATCGGCTTGAAAAACAGAAAATTCCCACGGTGGGTCGCAACCCATAGGTTGAGAAAAGCTGTTCTAGATGAAACTTACACACAGAAACTTCCGAAAAAAAAGCTTCCTGAAAGAACCTTCTAGAAGGAAGCTAAAGGTACATGGGCTAAAATGCATCCCCGGGGCAAAACTTTCTGCTAATTTTGAATACATTGCCAAAACATTTTCGTGGATTTATCACGCAGCATTGCTAGTTCAGAGATTTAAGTAACTCGATGGTATTCTCGGGGATATTAGCCACGGTATAGTACTCGTACAGTCTGAATATATATCTTAGTCTCACAATTACGTAATACCCTTTACAAAACTGACCATCCTAAAATATTTATCGGCGAAGTACACAATGACCAATCCAATGACCATATTTAGGAATAACTACGCACCCCAACCCACACACTTAGTTTTTTTCTACCGAGCTCGGCTACGCAAATTTCGGCAAAAAAAGTTTCACTGAGATCTCAGCAAACATTTCATTTGTTTGCTGAGATTCAGCTAAGCATTATCCGAGACTCAGCAATCAAATGTCACTTTTGCTGAGATCTCAGTGAAACTTTTTTTGCCGAGATTTGCACAGCCGAGCTCGGTAGAAAAAACTAAGTGTGCAGAGAGTTTGATATCTTCACATATTTCAATTCAAAAATTTATATGCTTGAATCACATATACAACATCAATTAGAGAGAATGTACGACGAGTTATATTTAGATGTATGTGAAGTCGATCGGAAGGTCCTTGGAACTCAGCTTATACTGGCTCGCCTTTATCCTAACGATTTTGCTTCAGACCTTATGAAAGAAGATGGCTACACCATAGAGGTAACTCTAAGACCACTGGGTCCCGAAGAAAATCATTATTATTTTTGGCTCACTCAGTACCAGAACAACGGTCCCAAGCAGTCCCAAGCTATTTCACTCACCCCTGCATGTTCTGCATGAATCCACACACCCCTGATGTTATCTGTCAAACATTCATAGCGAATCAAAACAAACATAGTGTAGTAATAGAATTTCAACTAGAATAGGGTACGTTAATCGTTTGCTTGGGACCAATAGGCTACTAAAGTGGTGAGCCAATTTAAAATCGTTAGTTTCGTATTGATTGTTGGCTACACTGCCGTTGTTGCAGGGGAAGTCATCTACCTCATTCAATGTAGACCGGTCTATGTTAAAATTCTGTCGAAGGAAGTTTACCTGTCGAAATGAACTCTAAAAATTGGTATATGCCACCGATGACCAGAATACTTCAAACAGATCAAATCGAATGCTCGTCTTTCCTCTCTCCGAAATACAAATTCGGTCATAAATGGTACACGATAGACGCGAAAATTAGGTAAACATCAGCTCCTGAGCAACTGCAAATAGGACTAAAATACACTCAAAAAATTCCACACGTCATCATCATGTGTCTCACATTTATTTTGCGCTTATTGTGAAACACATCCATTTCATGTGTGAATCTTATGCTATGAATTATGCTTCACGCTAAGATCAGTTTACCTAGACGGTACAAAGAGATTACCGAGATTGGCCGTAAATTGCACAAACTCACATATGGGTAAATTTTTTAACCCAAATATGGGTTCTTATGATCCATAAATGATTTATTTTTATGCAAATTTGACTTAAATTTACCCACATTTGAGTTAAAAAATTTACCCATATCTGAGTTTGTGCAGTTTACGCCTGATTTGGGTAAAGTAAACCTATATTTGGGTTATCTGATCTTAGCGTGTTGAACACTATGGATTTGAATTGTGACACACTTGGATTCTATGTGCCTCATTTGGTGATATCAATAGCTTTGCTTGCAGTTCAATATTCTACAGTATTCTACTTTATCGACTCTAAAAAATGAATCGACAAATATATAAACAAAACTGTCAGAGGCCAGAGCTTTCAGGCTTCTTTTTAATGGGTCTGATTTGGGATTCGATCATGGTTCTCATATATGAGGCGGGTTGATAGGATAAAGTCACAAGTCTTGTTTTCGATGTTTACCTTTCTGAGCAAGCAATTCACATCGCATTGCAATGCAAAACACTTTAAATCCATCTGTTTTGAACAGTTGTGTGATTCAATGTGCAATCCACTTGAGTAGATAGTGAACGATTTTCAACATTTAAAAGTTTGAAACACTATAAATTAACGTGTATAACACATTGAACCAAGGTGAAATACACTTAAAGTAAATGTGATTGTGCATTTTAAAAATCAAGTGTATAAACACTTCGATCAAACGTGTGGAATTTTTTGAGTGTGGTATCCCATACCATCGATAAAGACGTACACGGTAAAAAACATCATGTTCATGTAAAGTGATTTACTGTTGAATTTGCACTACTTGCCAAACATTGCAAATCGATGTGCAAATCACTTGGAAGAGATCATATCGAAGCACGATGAAATCAACAGCAAATCACTTCATTTTAGATTGCATTGCACATCGTTGTTAATGTGCTGTGCTTTGAACTCGAAATGTCAAGCATACCTGATATTAAAAATCATGTTTGCTGAAAATGGTTTTAAATAATTATATTGCCTTGTTCATACTGCAAGCCTTGTTATATGTTATTCACAATATGACCATAGAACATATATCATATTACTACCTAGATAACATGTGTCTAAGTGATATTAAACAACATTACAAGGCTTGTAGTTGAAGTAACATTGAGCAATCAATTTGATAAATTTGACAATGTTTTGTAATAGAACTTATCTGAATAATACACTATTATTGAATAAAGCAACAATTTCGTAATACTCGCGTTCTAGAATACAAATTATTTCGGGTGGAAAAGGAGAATTCAGGGGAAACATGTCAGAAGGGTCTAACTGAATCGTCGGTTTCTTACGAATGATAACACACCCACACAAACTAACTAAATCATCTGACAGAGCAATGTTGGTTCTATTAGCTGGTTAGTTATAAGAGCAAAACTAATCAAATTCAATGGATGAAAACAGTTGTGCCAATTCAAATGATAATCATTTTGATTTAAAGGTGTTATAAAGTAAATATTTTTCAACAACAACTTACTTTGTTTCAAAACACAAATTACTTGAAAATCAATGATAAATCACTTCGATTCGTAGTGCCGCATGACAGACTGAGTCAAGTGCAAGAGCATTTGAATTAGATGCGACAACTTTGTCGGTAATTGTGTCATCAAATCTTCATTCCCTGAAACTAAAGGGTGATACGGTCAAAATTTGGTCAATATCAACTTGACGTAATTCTTTCAATTTTGCATTTAAAAAACCTGAACACCCCTCATTTTGAAGGTGTGTGTGTGTAGAATGTTGCTCCTATTTTGATTTTGGAATTCACTCTTCAGTTGTCAAAATGCCGTCCAAGCAAGAAGAGCAGCGTATCAAATTTTTGCTCGCGCATCGCGAAAATCCGAGCTACTCGCACGCAAAGTTGGCAAAATCGCTAAAAGTTGCCAAATCAACCGTTACAAATGTAATTTAAGTGTTTGGGGAACGTTTGTCGACAGCCAGGAAGTCTGGATCGGGGGGAAATCGAAAACCGGAAGCCGCTGAGACGACAAAGAGAGTTGCCGGTAGTTTCAAGCGAAACCCTAACCTCTCTCTCCGAGATGCCGCAAATAAGCTGGGTGTATCGTCTACAACCGTGCATCGAGCCAAAAAACGAGCCGGACTATCGACTTACAAGAAGGTAGTGACTCCAAATCGCGATGATAAACAAAATACGACGGCCAAAGCGCGATCCCGGAGGCTGTACACGACGATGCTGACGAAGTTTGACTGCGTGGTAATGGACGACGAAACCTACGTCAAAGCCGACTACAAGCAGCTTCCGGGACAGGAGTTTTATACGGCAAAAGGAAGGGGAAAGGTAGCAGATGTTTTCAAGCACATGAAACTGTCAAAGTTCGCAGAGAAATATCTGGTTTGGCAAGCCATCTGTACCTGTGGCTTGAAAAGCAGCATTTTCATAGCTTCCGGGACTGTCAACCAAGAAATTTACGTGAAAGAGTGTTTGAATAAACGTCTGCTGCCTTTCCTGAAGAAACACGGTTGTTCCGTACTGTTTTGGCCGGATTTGGCATCTTGCCATTACGGTAAAAAGGCCATGGAGTGGTACGCCGCCAACAACGTGCAGGTGGTTCCCAAGGACAAGAACCCTCCCAACACGCCAGAGCTCCGCCCAATTGAGAAATACTGGGCTATTGTCAAGCGGAACCTAAAGAAGACCAAAAAAACTGCTAAGGGCGAGCAGCAGTTCAAGGCAAACTGGCTTTCTGCGGCGAAGAAGGTGGACAAGGTGGCTGTACAAAATCTGATGGCAGGGGTCAAGCGTAAGGCCCGGCAATTCGGATTTGGAAAAGCGGAAGCCTAACTGAATATTTTTCCTGAATTTTATACTAATTGAACTTGAAAAAGAAATTTAATTTGATTTTTTAAATAAACGATTTCACCGATTTACACGCGTTTTCCCTTGACCAAATTTTGACCGTATCACCCTTTAGATCGCTATTGTAAGTACTAGCGGTCGTACCACCATTGAATGGAAGCTGGGACGCGTGACAGAGATCCACCCCGGCCTGGGGGCAACCCTACAGTTATGTATTTAATTATTTTGTATTTCCGGGAACATTCTGATGCGTTCTCCTTCGACAGTGTCCATCCATCATGTGTTCCGGAATACACCATCGCTTCATCATTTGAATTTCATCGAAGCTAAGCATGCCCCCATTGGGGCAACCGTTGGCAATCCCGTGGCACTCCAGTCACATCTGCCGAGGGGGCCGACACCTAAGTTACGCTTCATCTATCATATATTGAATTTCGGATCCCAATCGCTGTTGTTCTTTGACAGATATGGATCAACTCGCTTGCGGCCATCGCTTCGATCACTGAAGATCAACTCAGCTAAGTATGGCCCCATTTGGGGCAAAATTGGCGGTTCACGAAACTCCATGTGGTATATGCCAGGAGCCGCAGCATAAGTTACGTTCATTAGAATTAAGTAGTATTTCGGAAGCCAATCGAATTCCCTTCCACCAGAATCATCTCCAAGGCTCAACCATTCGATGCTCGTTCCACGGATTAACATCCACCTCGGGGAAGCTCAGATAAGTATGGCCCAATTAGGGGCACATTGGCAGCTGACGGCGTTTCAGCCGTAATCGCCAGGGGCCGCCGTAAAAGTTATGTTTCCTAAATCCAATAAGTTGTTCGAAGCCCAATCGGTTTTCCTCTTCGACAGGAACCCCTCGACCTTTGATCATCTTCGCAGCTACTTCCGTTGAAAATTTCACGCCCCCATTGGGGCACACTTTGGCAAGAATGGAGAGTTTCGTCTGTTAACGCCAGGGGGCGACAGCTAAGTTATGTCCCTTCTCTTACGAATGTGTACCGGAATCAAGCCGTCTTATTCTTCGACAGGATACGAAGACCGATTCCACCTGCAGAAGCCATCATGTTCGTTTACCAAGGCGGAAGTATGTGAGCAGTGAAGTTAACGGAAGATATCACAAGCAGTCGGGATAAATGGATTGGGTCAGAAGTACTATCAACGTTTGGTTCGGCTTGACGGACGGTCATGACCAGTTCCCGATCGCAGAGCACTAGAGGATGCATAAGTTTTGGAGAGCAACGTCAACGAGGATTGAAGACGTTGAAAAAGATCTGTTAACACATGTTGAACTATTATCATTTTAGTTAGGTATAGGTATAGGTATTTGAATTGTTTTGAGTGAACTCAAGGCGGCCGGTATGTTAGGGAAAGTTAGATCAATAATTGTGTGCGTCACTGTAGAGTAAGGAATCTGATAATGAGTGACCACGAACGCACGACCGTCCTTGTGTATGTAGCCGAGAGCAATAAGCTATCAGTGATACGCTCTTACAGCATCACCAATAGGTAGTTCAGTTTGTTACCCACCGACCGCCGACGGTACCGATCGACCGTGTGATCACGTCGAGTATTAATAAATTTACAGTCCATTCGCGTTGAGTAATAAGTGCGTTTTTAAAATATAGTTCTTTGTGATCGTATCACCGGTTTTACTAAGTGTTTAGTCCGAACAAGTGACTCGCGGGTGCGCACGGATTGTGCAAACGGGGAAATACTCAACAACCATGTCTGTCCGTAGTGGTATTATGTAGTAGCGTACGACAGAAGCACATCCTTTAAAAAAAATATACACAAGGGAAAACCCGTGAATAAATTCTGATCAACGAAAAACCTAATTCTGTTCGTATTATGATTTCTCCTACTAGTCTTCACAGATTTGAACTTCCTCCATTAACAGTAAATTCAATTACCTCTTTTCTAGTTAAGGAACTAAAACAAAGCTTCACTTTACAAGATGCTTAGATGCGTGTATGTGTTTGTTACTTTCCTATCTCCCACGTGGTGTTGCCCACACTATTTACACTGAAAACATTGATAAAAAAAGAAGAAGAAGCTAACAGCATTCCTCTGCCTGTCTACCATGTACCGCATTTTATTGCTATTGATGATTGTTTTCAACTACTTCTACTACTCTATGCACACCTCAGCTCTCGCTTTCTCTCTCGCTCCCTGGTCGCACAACTAGAATAAATTAGAATCAAAAGAGTCACGCTCGTTCGTACGCCCGTTATCCCTCTCGTTCAACCCCCTAGCAGTCTATTTCGTTTCTGTTTCGTCGCTTCGCGACAGCCTACTCCGTTTCGACGGTCTAATATTGCATCAAAGCATTCCTTCGCTCTTCTAACCACCGCCGCCGCTTTTGCTGACAAACTCGTGCAGTATGTCGCACGCCATCTCGATGTTGTTGCGCGAAATGCCGAGCGCCGTGATGACGTTCTCCTTCGAGTAGCCCTCCTGCATCAACCGGGCAATGTACTCCAGGTTGATGTTCTCGTATGGCACGTTCGTATTGTTGTTGTTGGCGGCGGCGCTGCCACTCGCAGACGCAGCCATAGCCGCTGCGACGACGCTACTGTTCAGGTGGTTGTTGTTGTTGCTGCTCGAGCCGCTGCTTCCGTTGCAGTCATTCGAGCTGAGGTTGACGTTTTCGTAGAGGAGACGGTTGCCGCCGGATTTGCTGGCGGCTGCAGCCAAGGCGGCCGACAGTTGGGACGTGGTGATGGATTTGGATGGCGGTTGAGGAGTGACCTTGGCGTTGATGGTAGCGTTGTTCGCCGGTAGGGACTGATGTCGCTGGTGCTGTGGGTTTGTGCCTTGGGCGGTTGCAGCCGCCGCCGGCGGTTGTTGTTGTTGTTGGTGTCTTGGCTGAGGTTGCGGGTGCTTTGGTGTGTGGTGCTGCGGTTGATGGATGGGCTGGGCAGGTTGAAACAGGGTTACTTCATTGGAGAGGATTCCGTTGATGTTGGTACTGATGGAGGTTGGTTTGAATTGGTACACGTTGCTGGTACTGGTCAGGACTAGATTGTGGTCGGTTTTGTCGTCTACTTTGAGGATGATGGGTTGCCGGGCTTCCAACGGTCGGGTGTCGATGATGCCGACGATGGTTTCCGCGGGTCCCACGATTACTTTGTCTTCCTGACTGAATGGGTCCGGATCGGGGGGCTTCGGAGGGGCGGTGGTGTTACTGCAAGGACATGGTTCCATTGGGGTTTGGTGTTTGGGAACCGGCGGAGGGTTGGTTTTGGGGACGTGGCTGTCGTTAGAGATGCGGGTGGCACTCGATAGGTTTTCCGAGCTTCGGCTTAGGTTAAGGCTGGCGGCAACTTGATTGGACAGGTTGCAAAGACTAGATGCCGAATTGATTTGGTTTTGGGTGTTGCGGGCGGCCAGCAGTTGCGAGGACTGACAACGGGGATTGCTGGATTTTTGTCGACTGGAATCGGAGGAAGGGGTTGACGTTAGGATTCCTGGGGAGGATTTTCGTGGGGGAAGTGGAGGTGGTACAGGTTGGTAAATTGACTCCAAGGAACTTGATGATGGTGTATCCGACGAAAGGGCTTTGTTCAGCACTCGGTACATAAGGTAGCTGGTCGGATTGGTTCCGCTAGATGTCGCCACCGATGAGCTGGCCGGTGCACTGAGTCGGTTTTGCTGAAGTTGCTGCGAGTGTGCATTGACCATCGGGGCAACGTTGGTTTGTGTCTGCGGTAGGAGAGACGAGGATGAGGACTTATTACACTTGACAAGGTTGTGACTTGGGGTTCCACTTGATCCACTGCTACCACTAGCTATGCATACATGGTTACAGTGATTGTTATTCAATGAGATGTTGGTGTGGGTGACAAGGTTCCCATTGACCGTGTGCGTGGCGGTGGCAGCCATTGGTGGAGCTGATGCAGCGGTGGCTGCTGCAACCGCTGCCGGTGTCGTTACTAGTGCTGCCATCTGTTGTCCGATAATGCTATTGCTACCACTACCACTACTACCACTGGTAGATGAACTGGATGAAGATGAGGCGTAACTACAGCTGCTCGATTGGGACTGAAGGGAGGGTCCGCCTGCGTAAATATCGTTACTGGTTAGCACCGGTGCGGTGGGATTCGGTTGGCGCCGCGTCAACCGCGGTGAAGAGTGCGGGCTTTGCTTTTCATTGCGTGCCAATGTCATACTATTGCTCAGCGCGTGGAGTGACGAGGTGGCGATATTGAAATCGTCCTATGGGTGTGCATTGGTTTTAATGAAAAGAGAAAAGAAGGACATTTGTTTACAATACTGTTGTCACTAAGCGATGACGGGATGATTGCACTAAATTATCTACCTTTAGCCGAACGAAACACGTAAAAGCATGCCGGAAGGCGACGTCATTCAACTTACTGGCAAAAACACAACATATAGGTACATACACACAAACATACAAACAAAAAACGAAAAACGGAAAATCGATGACACATCAAAACACAATTTTTGTAATAATCAAACAGTGCCTAAAAGCTGGCGATGCTCACGACCCAATCTGCAAACACTGATACCATAAATCATGCAGTAAATTCTTTTATTATTTTTAGGTGGCAAACACGTTCCCAGGATTGCGAGGCTCTTTTTTTTCTCGCAAATTTACTCAGTGTGTGCGTGATTTCATGGATTTCATCGGAAAAAAAGGGTGGAGAAGTTACATTTGAAAACAAAGCGCACAAAAGCGCCCGGATGTAGGCAAATTCAATTTTGGTATGGATTTTCCTCTTTATGTTCTGAACGAGGTACATATACTGCCATCCTACGCATAACTGTCCCACGTTTTTAGCAATTCTTACGGCACGTGAGACATGTATGCGAATAACGGCAGTCGATCAACCATCGGTTTTTACATGGCGAAAAAGATGCTGGAAATGTAAAGCCGATGGGCCCACACACAACAACGAGGACGATGAAAAAGAAATGGCAACGTTAGTAAACCTGAAAAGTGTACCCCCGAACCACCAGCCACTACCAGACCAGCCATAACCGTTGCCACCGGTTGTGGTGGGGCGCACCTACCTACAAGAAATTTATATCTGAGGGGGAGTCTCTTAAGGGCCATGAAGCCACAACACAGCTTGTGAGGATTTAAGGCGAATTCGCTGGAAAGGAAACACGCAAAGTTGGAGGCATCATTTGCCCTAGTTTCCTAGTTGAGTGGAATAATCCCCGAGTTTTTCCCAACAACCTATGAGCTGCACACAGCTAGATTAAATACATCTACAACTTTAATCCCTCCAGTGCTGGCGCTATCGCTCACTGTTGGCTGTTGGTTTAGTGGCAGCAGCGTCTGCTCATTTGCATATATTCATCTAGGTTCATTGAAAAGTGATCCTGCGTGAATCACGTCCATCTCTCTGTAGCCTGTTGAAGCCTTTGATAGTGAAGAAGGGAGCCGGTGACGATGGTAAGGTGGATTATATGGTAATGATGATTTACCGGAATAGGGACTAATTGAATATTTCCATCGATTAGTAAGTGGATAACCCTCGAACTCCATCATTCGGTCGTGTGGGAGGGTAATTTGTCAGGCGTAAAATCTTATTGAATTAAAATGCCGACCTGCTGTACGGGTTATGGAAGTGAAAAATTTCTGAAAGGGTTACCAATGCTCATTTCATGTACACATATTTCCTCGATATAATCAGAGTGCTTCCTTTTTCGATTTTATTGCTGGAAAGATTTGGCAGATTTGACGTCGAAAGCACTTTCGTCCTCTACATGGCCCAAAGGAATGCTATTTCGTAAATTCGTGGACAACCGCAGAGTCGAAAATTTTTGGAAGCCTTAAGGATTGTTACAAATAAAAATACCGCAAACAACTCCAAAGTTCGCCAATTCCAGTCATCAATCATCTATGACGGAGTGATATTGCCGGGTCAGGAACTTGAACCTCAACACGCTCACTTGCCACTAGCATTTTGGAAGCCCCTGATTCCCTCATCACAGTCGAGCTTCTCCTGCCATCGACCTGCAGTCGTCCCGGTCCTGTGTCTGAGTCCGGAAATGGGGTCTTCCAAAATCCAACCTCAGGCAAGTATGATCGCTTTCTGAATAATTCCGTCCCTGAAACGATTATCACTTCTAGTCGAACTTCAACAATGAACTCCTTCGTGATTGACCCATGTTGGACACCGGGACGCACGCCTGCCATATGTGTTATGGAAGCCCCTAATTCATCCATCACAGTCGAGTTATTCCTGCCACCGACCTCCAGCCGTCCCTGTCCTGTGTTTGGATTTGATGAAGGGGTCTTGCAAAACCCTATCTCAGGCAAGTACGACATTATTTCGAACAATCCACTTCCTGAAATGTATTATGCCTACAGCCGATCATTTCCGATAAAAGCACAACCTGCTTCATTCAACTCGACACTCGGACGCACACTTGCAACTAGCCTTGTGGAAGCCCCTGATCCTATCATCGCAGTCGAGCCTATGCTGCCAGCGTTCAACAGTCGTCCCAGCCCTGCGTTTGAGTTAGGAGAGGGGGTCTTCCAAACTCCAACTGTAGGCAAGTACAATCAGCAAGCAACAACTGCTCTGTATGAAAAATTCTTGGTTTCCAGAGTGCCATTGTATATGTCTGCTCCTCGACAATTGTGGTCTGAAGATAACATTAATAGCATACCAGCCCCACCATACCAGAAGTCGAGACGCTCCACAGAAAATTCACCGGAAGAAGCATTCAGATCCTCTGATCTAGTCCTCCCGACGATTGACGACTTACACCATTATGATGAATCAACTTCTGTTTGTTTACTGGGACGCACTGCCGTTGGCATCATGGAAGCCCCCGAGCCCCCCGCCACAGTCGAGCCATTCCCGCCAGCGACCTGCGACCCGTGTGCGGGCCTGGTGAAGGGGTCTTCCAACCACTCGTTTACGACAAGTATGAACTCGTCCATGTGAATTCAACTGTTGATCCGCCACTTCGTTTCAGTTCATCTTCGCTTATGGCCACCACTTCGAGCCTTTCTACGTCAGGTGATCTTTCACTGCCTGATAGTTCACCGTTCTCTCGTGCGGATGCTGGTCAAATTACCATTGACACGGCTCGCACCGAACCCTCTAGCGGTTTACGTGTCTACTATCAGAACACCAGGGGGCTCATGACTAAATTGGACGATGTTTATCTGGCTGCGCTTGACGGGGAATATGACGTTTATGTATTCACGGAAACTTGGCTCGATGGGAGGATCAATTCAGTGCAACTGTTTGGTGACTCTTTTACTGTCTATAGATTAGACCGTAATTCATCCAACAGCATTCGTACTCGCGGTGGTGGTGTGCTCATCGCTGCTTCCAACGAATTCGCCTCCTGCGTAATCTCCAACGGACTATTTACTACAATTGAAGCGGTTTGGGTTAAGGTCAGCCTCACTTCGCAGAACATCCTCATTGGAGCGGTGTATATTCCCCCTGAACGTCGACATGACTGCACCACAATGCAGCTTCATCTGGATGCTACAGAATTTGCATCGTCCATGGCTGATATAACGGATGTGCTTCTTCTGCTTGGTGATTTTAATCAGCCTGGGCTTAGCTGGTCACCCTCAGGCCAGGGTTATGCGTTTCCAGATCCGATTGCATCTTCAACTACTCCTGCCAGCGGCTTGCTTGTTGACGGCACGGCTTTTTATGGACTGAGCCAGATAAACCTTGTTCCCAATTTCCAGTCTCGTTTTCTTGACCTGGTTTTTGTTAGCGAAAGTGCACTTCTGGACTGTGTCGTCGCTGAAGCGCCCGATGTCATCGTTCCTCTTGACAATTTCCACCCTGCGTTGGATATATATATATATATATATTACTAACGGATCTCAAATTCGTTTTGATGAAACCATGACTGCCACTCGGCTCAATTTCCGGAAGACCGATTTCCGTTTGCTGAGACGTTCCTTGTCCCGGATCAACTGGAACGTGTTGAATGACCTTGATATCGATACAGCAGCCGCTCGCTATAATAGCCTTTTGCGTGACTGTGTTTGTGCTTCAGTACCGAAGTGCCAACCTCCAAGAAAACCGCCTTGGTCTAACGCTACTCTCCGCAACCTGAAACGAGTGCGATCTAGAGCTCTCCGTGCTCTCACTCATCGACGATTACGACCCTTACCAAGCGAAATTTTTCAATTGCCAGCAATGATTATCGCCACTACAACAAGCTTCTTTACAAGAGGTATGTAATTCGTACTCAACATAATCTGCAATGCCACCCCAAGGGATTCTGGTCGTTTGTGAATACTAAGAGGAAGGAAACTGGACTGCCGTCAAAAATGTTTCTCGGCAATGACGTAGCATTGACAACTGAGGACAAATGCAGCCTATTTGCTAGGCACTTCTTAAGCGTCTTCTCGAATGACTCCCCATCGCAAGCAGAAATTGAGCGAGCCGTCCGTGATGTGCCAACCGACGTCGTAAACATGGATGTTTTTGCCGTAGATGTACAAATGGTTCTCTCTGTGATGAGTAAAACCAAATCATCATTTTCACCAGGTCCGAGTGTTATTCCATCTGCAGTCCTAAAAAAATGCTCCGATATCTTAGCTGCTCCGTTGACCTTGCTCTTCAACCTGTCACTTCGTCAACAGAAATTTCCCGCACTATGGAAACGGTCTACTATGTTCCCTGTTTTCAAGAAAGGAGGCAAACGCAATGTGGAAAACTACCGTGGGATTACCTCGCTTGGGGTTGAATCTAAGGTGTTTGAGTCGCTGATAAATGAGAGATTGTTTGCTTCCTGCAAGCATTACATAACTACATGTCAACATGGTTTCTTTCCTGGCCGCTCCGTGGAAACTAATCTCGTCAGCTTTACGTCGTTCTGTATGGAAAATGTATGCAAGAAACTTCAAGTGGATGCCATCTACACTGATCTTAAAGCTGCGTTTGATAGAGTTGTGCACGACGTTCTGCTAGCAAAGCTTGAAAAAATTGGATGTTCTGTTTCCTTCTGCAGCTGGCTTAGATCGTACCTCGTGCAACGTGAAGTTACTGTATGCATCGGAAACTACTCATCGTACTGTTTCTCGAACAGATCAGGAGTTCCACAGGGTAGCACTTTGGGACCAATGCTCTTCTCTTTATTTGTGAACGATGTAACGTTTATTCTACTACGAGGAGGTAAATTGTTTTTTGCCGATGACTTGAAGATTTATCTAGTCGTTCGAGGCTATGCCGACTGTTTAGAACTACAAAACCTTC